TCTGCTTGTTAGGTGTTGAAATACACCGACTATCACCTCAGGGTGCCTTGGTACATTTCAAACAGCAACCGAATGGTCCAGAAGGTTTGATAGTTAAATGGTTAAAAGTAGCTTTGCTGGGCGGGTTGAGGTTAGCTTCTGATTACATTTCATACTTTCCTGGGAAGATGTTCACCCCTCTGAGATAATGAGCCATCGGGTCCTTGAGCAAAGATGTAAAAACAAAGAACCACAGAAAGAAAAGGCTGCAGCCTCAGACACCTGCCTATCTCAAGGCTGAGATACAAGCGGCTGTGGGAGGCTGCCCAGAGGTTGTCCATATCTCTCTCTGTGCAAACCAGCCTGCGAAGGGCTGATCTTTGCCGTGTATGTTGAGGTGCGTTCTCTGGCTTATTGTTTTGTCTGGAGTACTGAGCAATTCCTGAGTGTTCCTCAATTATTTGATTTGTATATCTGTGTCATTGTACGGTGTGGTTAAACAGCATATGGTTTGAATACAGATTGTTGAACTTTACCCTATGTCTTATATATATATAAAAATACTTGATATCAGTGGAATAAACACTATACTCTTACCACCGCCTGTCGAATTATTAATATAGGTCACTGCTGACACTGAAGAGCAGAGTACATTCTTTGCCTGTACTTCAAGACACGGCTTTTATCCTGTTTATTCACAGCCTCAGCGCCTGCCGAAAGCTACAAGTCTTGCTGCTACGTTCGAGTTGAATTGAAACGGACATTAAAGTGAAGTGGACAGAGCGTTTATGGTAATGATAAGCCTTTAATAATTCTTGCGCTTGATAGAGTGCTTTGCCGCTTCATCGAGATGTCTCCAAGCACCTCACAGAATGTATTTTATAGGCGACCACGCCAGCCAATTTGCGCACACACAGTGCATGGCTTGGGAGGTGTGGGCTCTCGGTGAGGCTGTTTGTTTTTTGCTACTGCCAGGGATCATGGGCTTCCAGCAGATTGGCTTCTTTTACCTTGTGAAATGAAGATTCCTGAGCTACAGCTTGTGTTAAAAAATATATAATAACAATCCTTGCATTTGATATAGCGCCTTCGAGATGTCTCAAAGCGCTTCGCACAATATACTGGAAAGTGAACTGACTGTATATTTTGAAGACGGCAGTGAACAACCCTGATGAATTCTGTTTCCCTCCAAAAAAATATAATAATTTCGTCACTCGCACACCCGTTTGTGGGACACTGCGCAATTGGCTGCCGTGTTTCACCCACAAAATACACAGCCTCTACACTTTACAGTATATTCTGTGAAGGGCTTTGAGATGTCTTAAAGACGTGACAAGACACTATATCAAATGCAAGGATTATTGTTAAATATTATATATCTCTAACCTCATCCAGACTGTGTGCCCCAGACACAGAAAGCGAAAGGAAACTTGCCCAACGTTTCGGGAATGCCCGGGAATCCAACTCAGGTCCTATTCACTTGCGAGGCGAGTGCTCTAACCATTAAGCTACAGGACTCCATAACTGAGAAGCTCACTTTCACAGGAGGATATGAGGTGCTGAGAGGACTGAGTGTGTAAAGGTCTAGGATTGAGTGAGCAGAGACAGGAAGCTGCCAAGATTTACCTTTGTGCCTCCAAGCATTAGAAACATGGGATTACAAAACGTGTGAAAAAAACTCCGTAAAACCCACTTGGATCAAAAATCACTTGTGTTACATTTTCAGTTAAGTTGATTATTGATTGAGGCGGGAGATGTGGAGAAGCATTGCCTCTGTTTCCACTCTACAAGGCTGGAAAGGTCTGGTCTGACTGAAGGGAGATTTGAATGGGGTTGGATGTGAATGATTTGGACCTACGATGCCATGGTTTGCCACACTGTGGAGCTAGAACCTTTCACAACATCGCTCTGCTCCACTTTGGCTCTGAGCTGCAATCTAATAGCTCTGAATGCTGAAAGTTATGCAAATTCTCTCTTGTTCTGCCTGTTTCTTCATACCCAAAACGAAACAACAGGCTAATAAAAGGAACTGGCTGAGAGATGCTTGTCCTGGATTGTCCAGCCTCCTGTGTCATGTAGGAGGGAGTGAGGGTCAGGTGGAGCTAATCTGGAAAAAAAGGCAAAATACTGCAGATCATAGAATCGTAGAAATATACAGCACAGAAGGAGGCCATTCGGCCCATCGTGTCTGTGCCAGCTCTTTGAAAAGAGCTATTCAAATCAATCCTACTCCCCCGCTCTCACCCCATAGCCCCGCAAACTTGCCCTCCCCAAATAATTATAGACGCTGGAAATATGAACTAAAAACAGAAGTCGCTGGGAATACTCAGCAGGTGAGGCAGCATCTATGGAGAAAGGAAAGTGAGTTAATGTTTCAGCTCGATGACCTTTCGTCAGTTCTGACAAAGATCATCCACCTGAAACGTTAACTGACTTTCCTGTGGAGCTAATCTGGAGATTGTGACCTTGCTTTCCCTTGACCAGGACTGCGTAGCCCCCTTGTTGCTGCTGATATTTTGATTGACTCCCCTTCAGATGCTCCCGGTCTCGTTAGTCCAGTCCCTCCTGATCCAGTCTGAAAGACAGTTCTTAAGGATTGAAGGGAGTTTCTCCCAGGAATTAAGTAAGCAAGATGCATCCCTCCAGGGAGAGAGTGCACAGTCCATTCCGAAAATCTATCTATGGAATTTCCATGTGTAGGTGGGTTGCATGGAATTCTCAGTTTGGATACTCTTAAGCATGGTGATGGGTTTCCGTGTGTGGCAGACACCGGAATGATCCCACAAAATATCCTGGCTATCAGTCCCCTCAGGTCGATTTGGTCATTCACTTTACAGCTGTTTGTGGGACATTGCTGTGCACAAGTTGGCTGCCATGTTCACCTACAAAATAGATGCTCGTTTCTCCCAGAAAAAAAACAGTCAATCCACTTTACAATATATTCTGTGCAGTGCTTTGAGATGTCTCATTGATGTGATAAGGCGCATGTGATGTGAGATCTGGGCTCAATTTCCAGCAGGGCTAAACCTTAATAATAATCGCTCGAGAAAAAAAATAATAAATTCAATCCATGACTGTTTGTGGGACACCGCTGTGCGCAATTGGCTGCTGATTTTGCCCACGAATATACAGTTAATTCACTTTACAGTCTATTCTGTGAAGCGTTTTGAGACGTCTAGGAGACGTGACGAGGTGCTGTATCAAACGCAAAAGGATTATTATTATTATCGAATGCAACGATTAGCATTATTATTTAAGAACCTCAACGATGTCACGGCTTTGTGCTGTCAATCTTCCGTAGCCACCATCTTGTGACTGTCAGCTGCAACTTTCAGGGCTCAAATCTTCAACATCAAAAATCTCCTGCGGATTGTGCAGACAGAAGGAGACACGTTTCAAGTTCATCGCCATTTCTTTTGGAGATATTTCCCTTTTATGATGTGCACGGCAGGCTAAGATATCCCTCTTCACACGATCCTTCCAGGCCTTTGCAAAGTGTTTAGATGGAGCTTCTTGTGATTCTATTGTCGGTCCCAGAGCATGAAATCCTGGGTAATTTAAGTCAGAAGCTGTAACTTTGAAGCAAACTCTGATTGCATAATTAATCAGCTGCAAATCTCCTCCCCATCACTGTCTACGTTTGCACATTTCTCTCTACACAGCTAATCCACTGCTGCCTCAGACCTCAATCTTTCACTTCTGACAACCAGAGACAGAATGGGAATTATCACAGCAGTGGGCAGCGGCTGAGCAAATTAGTGCACGATAGAGAGATCAGTCAACATTACACAACTTTATTTTCCTCTCTATCTAATAGACCCGGGGGAAGGGGGAGGCGGTTTGAAAGTACCAGGCGCTCAAAAGTTCACCTGGTCTAAGACTGCAAAACAATACAATACAAATTTAAACACTTATATAGCACCTTGCCCACCCCACCATTGACAAGCGGCCCTTCAGCCTCTCTGCACCCACCCTCCGGAACTCCATCCCAAGCCCCTCCACCTCGCCTTGTCCCTTGCCTCCTTCAAGACCCATCTCAAGACCCTGCTCTTTGACCGTGCCTTCGGTCACCCTCCTAGCCTTACCCTCCCCGCCCTCCACCCCTCCTGATCCCAACCACCAACTTTAGGGCGGATCACTAACACCTTCGGACATCCTCCCGACGTGTAAGGCACTATAAAAATGCAAGTTGATGTCGTTGTTCCCGCCTGTAGAACATCACACAGAAGCCCAACAATCCCGCATTTTGTCCTAACAAAATAATGGATTGCGTACAATTGTCAGAAATATACCTACAAATAATAATAATAATAATCCTTGCATTTGATATAGCGCTTTTCACGTCTTCTCGACGTCCCAACGCGCTTCACAGAATATACTGTAAAGTGAATTGACTGCATATTTGTGGGCGAACGCGGCAGCCAATTGCGCACTACAGTGTCCCACAAACAGTCGTAGATTGAAAATGACCAATTTATTATTGTTTTTTTTGGAGGGATTATTATTACATCGTCCATTGCACCTTACAGTCCTGCAAAGCGCTTTGAGATGTTTTATCGACGTGAAAAGGTGATCACGTCGATAAATGTAAGGATTATTATCATTTTCATTCGAAAGCCAGTCCCTTTCAGAAACACTGAAGAATGGCTTCCAGCGTAGAACTGAATTTAAGAATTTTCCACAATTCCTGATTTTACATTTTAAGGGCAAAATAGTTCAATCGCGTGAGACTGCGCTGGAAATTCAGGCCTCTGCTTCGTAAACTAAATACAGCATAAATCTCAAAAGATGAGCTTCATTTCTCAACCGCGGGTCGGTTTAATTCTCTTCCGCACGGAGCTGGTTACAATAGTCTCCCCGATTACACAATCTGCAAGGTCCAGACACACAGTGTCGTCCACATAACAATGGTTCAGTATTTATGAGTTGCCACACATCATTTTGTCAGTGAGCCACTCGTGTGGGTTGCAGCCCAGTCAGTAAGTCAAAGCTGACAGCAGGCTCCGCAGCCAGGCACTTACTGTGAAACCAATCCCCACCGTGGCGGAGAACGATCCCGGGATGAACTTTCCTTGGTCAAACTGCACCAGCAGAGACGTCTTCCCAACACCACTGTCGCCCACCAGGATAGTCTGTGGAGGGGGGGGAGAAACGAAGGCATAAATTGGAATTCATTACTGAAAGGGTTGAATGGACATCATCTCATTTTGAGGTAATCATAATAATCCTTACATTTGATAATGACACCTTATCACGTCTTCGAGACGTCTCAAACTGCTTCACAGCAAATACTGTAAAGTGAATTGACTGTATTTGGGGGCTAAACGTGGCAGCCTACTGTGCACGGCAGTGCCCCACAAACAGTTGTGGATTGAGTGACCCAATTATTTTGGGGATCCACTGAATTCACACTCAAAAGGAAACATAGAGGGTCTCCTGACTGTCCAATCAGTCTCCTCCCCAGATTCTCCCACCTATCCCACAATTGTTTTAATGCTGCTGTTGATTCAGACTGACCACCTGGGATCCTTATAAAGTCTCAGAGTTCACCTAATACTGGAGTATTAAGCCCATCGTAAGCCCAAGTATTAAAACCCTAATACTGAGCCCATCAAGGAATCTTTTGCTTTTTGTTATGATTTCAGACATACATCATTCCAACAGGTTTTGTAGCAAGACCCTGGTAACCATTGTGTCTTATGACAAAACAAAAATCTAACCTAAATGACATGTGCAACGTTTCTCCCATGTGGGATGTGAAGGCACCAAAAATGCTGCTTCATACAGAACAGTAAATTCATCATTGTGGGCTCATTAACTATTCTGATCCATGTAGTGAGTTCAGAAAATTTCGCTTTTAATCAAGTATAATGCGATTTTAAAATATGAATCATTATAAATGTATAAATGCAAATCTAAATTATAATTGTAAGATTGCATTCCATTTATTCATAAGCTCACGGGGATGGGGGTTGGGAGGTGAATTCGCCATACTTACTCCACAATAACATGAATAGCAGTTATCAATGATTTTACAACAGGAACAAAACAGAGGAAAATAACCTTAGAAAGTTTGACTGCCAAGTCCAGGTCAGTGATGGCACGAACGCTTAATAATTCAAGGACTGCTTATTATCTAAGACTATACCAGGGCCCATTAACATGTCAACACTCGTTTGGGAAGCTAAGACTGCTGAATTAACCTTCTAAGCAAAGAACAGGAATCAGTTTAGTCTGAAGAAATCTCTTCTTTCCGCACCTTGAGACGAGCAACACAGCTTTGCCTCTGCTGCGGTGCAGCACATAAAGGACTGATGTGGATCCTTTGATCGCCACTTTGACTCTTTGACTCTCAAACTCATTCTTAACTCCACTGGATTTGAGTTGAATGTGGGGAGAAGGTTCAAGTCGCTCAGTGTTACACATCTCCCTCTGAGTGAGAGTGCGATAACCTGAGTCACTAATGCCAACACAGCCCCCTAACTGGATGAGTCTGGTGTCTCCTGTGGCCTGAAGGAGGATAGTTTGAGACAATATTGTACACCTCCACGTTGGTTTGTTGCACAGTTGGCTGTAATGGATTCTTGTTTTGGATCGCAGCATGATGTGAGTAATTCTAATCAAGAATAATAATAATAATCCTTGCACTTGATATTGCGCCCTATCCCGCGGTTGGGAGGTAAATTCGCTTTCGAATAAGAACATAAGAATTTGCTCGGCGAAAGAAGACCACGGTCCATCTAATTCACCTTCCAACCATCCTGGCAGTCACTTGGCATGTCATGTCCCAAACTATATAACACTTCACAGTATCTATTGTAAAGTGGATTGACTATTTTTGTGGAAGAAACGCAGCAGCTAATTTATCCAATAAAATTGTCAGAAAGCCCCAAGAAGGGAAACAATCCACCAGGGTTACCCGGCTCCTGATGTCTATACAGCAGGCCAAATGGTCGTGTTTCCATACTGTGTCACTCTATGTAGATATGGCTGGATATGGATATGGAGTTTAATGTGTTTAAGTAGCCAGCAAGTCACAATTACCCTCAATACTAGTAACGAATGCCAACATGTTATCAGGTGAGGTGCAGTTGGGCAGAACAAAGGAAAGGTTGTACCATTCCAAACAATAGCATTTCTTTACAAGGCAACAGAGTGCGTTAATACTTGTAGATGCCCAGCTCAGCAGAACACATGCGAAGATCAATTGAGGCACTGTTGCTTGGACTGCAGAATGAGTATGCCCACATAGCATGCTCTCCATTACGTTTAGGCTGTCTAGACGAGGAGACAAGTGGAGGGGGTGAGTGCAAGAGCTGAGGGTAGGAGCACAGATATCTCTGATAACTCCAATGGTTAAATAACCTCGGCTTGCTCCCTCTGTCCCACCACCAGTGACCAAACCATCATCCACTTGGCTCCTGCTCTCTTGAGCTGTATCCCCAAATCCCTTTGACTTGCACCCTCTTTTCCTCTTGAAAACAGAGGTGAAAAGTCACCAGGCTAACCATGTGGCTGGTTGTCTGCTCTATCCTGCTTATAACTCTCCATCTTGGAGCTCACGAGCTTCCGTGTGGAGGAGAACATGCTCATTCCCTCACCACTGACGGATTCTCTCACCATCAGAGTTGAATGGTCTGCCCTTCAAATCCAGGCTAGGCTGGCTGTGCTGTCGTCTGCGGTGCCCTAGAGTGCTACAGACCCGCCTGGCTCAGGAACCGGACTACCGAGACCACCACAGAGGGCTGGCTCGATTCCAACATTCCATTGCCAGGCATGTCACTTCGGAGTTAGTTTAGCGGAAGAGATTACCGAGCCAAAGAGGCAGACAACAGCTGCCTGAATTCTGTAAAGACTATTTACTGTTTACAAATGTTTGATGGACTCCTCACTGGCAAAGATACTTCTGAGCCACGATCTGTCAGCTAAGGTTCTGGTTAACGAGAGAAGAGAGACTCACCTGTGTAACTCCAGTTTGTCTCAAGTTTCCAGGGTGATCCCTTTGCTCAATTAAAAAAAAAACTAGGAACTGCAATTTATATCTGCGATCCACCATCCTAGTTACAGTACTAGATGCTCAGGAAAACACGATGATTGAAGGCAGAGGTCATGAATATCAGCCCGACCACAGAGGTAGAAACTCCACTTGGGTCCAGATTCATTCTATTTTCTCAGAAATTCAAAGCATCCCCAGAGTTTGACAAACGCTTAAATACAGTCTCAATTTTGAAAACAGTTTTCTCTAAGTTTCCTTTAAGAACTGCAGTAAACAGACTTCAAAGGTGAGACTGAATTCAACAATGTGCCTCATTCTGGATGCTCCAAAATAAAATAATCCTCAATAATTCTTACATTCGATAAAGCGCCTTTCACATCGGCAAGACATCATAGGATTTATCGTAATGTGTAGTGACTGTGTATTTTGTAGCAAAGCTCTGAGCTACATAAATAGATCTAGATGATATTTGTTCCTCATAGAGGTGATAATGCCCTATATCAAATCTAAGGATTATTATTCTGATTATTATTATTATAGAGGCTTATACCTTGCGTTAGAAGGGTGACCGATGGAAACTTCTCCAAACATTGCTCTTTGTAACACTGAGGGTTTGAATAGTTTCAAAGCAAGTGAGTCAATTGACGTACACGCACATATGTTTCAGTTGCATTTATACGACCATCCTTTGTTTGACGCACAATGTACAGCGAAGCATAACTCTTACTGAGAAGATGTACAGCCCTGCCATAGCAACACCCGACCTCCCACGCCACAAAGACATCACACACATGGGTGAAGCATCAGTGGGGGTGGGGGTTGTCTTGGTGGATTGAAGTCAGGTTCCAGAGGTGAAAGGGCATTGTTTTCACCCGCTGTATCATCCAGTCTCTAAACCCTGCAGCTTTCTTTCCAAAATACAATGCCAAGGAGCAGATGGTGACGCTGGCACAATGACAGGATGAATAGCAAGGGAGGAACTGTGCTTAGCCGAGGATAGCATTGTATAACAGCAACAAGCGCCCTTCACACAGGGTAGCATCTCGCAGCGCTGTAGGACAAGGGTTGAATATTCCCTTAATCCACTATCCTGCTGCTCTGAGTTAGTGAAAGTAGAAAAGATGTTTAATCTATTTGTTAAATGCTGATTAGTGAATTACTGAATTGCTGCCTAAGTGCAGTGTTCAGTCATACAGACATGGAATGGTTTAAGTCCTGGTTTGTGGTAGATTATTATTAACAATAATGGTAATTCTTACATTTGCTGTAGCGCCTTGCATGTTGGGAGGATGTCTCAAAGTGCTTCATAGGATATAATGTAAAATGAAGCGACTGTTTTTTGAGCGAACAAACGTGGCAACCCATGTGTGAACAACAGCGTCCCACGAACAGTCATGAAATGAAGGACCAATTTTATCTGTGGGACTATCAGCCAGGACACTGGGAGAAACTCCCTACCCTTTTTGAATAGGGCCATGGGATCTTTAATGTCCACCTGAACAGGCAGACCGGACCTCGATTTAATGCCCCATCTGAAAGACCTCCAACAATACAATACAGTCTGAGCACTGCATTGGAGTCAGCCTAGACTATATGAGTTCCAAGTCCAGATGTGGAGCTTGAATCTACAACCTTCTGACTCAGGGGCGAGAGTGCGACCAACTGAGCCAGGCTGACACAAATTAGCTGACCTCAGATGGAGCAATGTTTGTCCTCAGTGCCTCTGGTCTAGGAAGGGAAACATCAGCCATGGTTCTAGTCTGGAAAATCAGGTGAGGCCCAGATCAGGTTTGGATACGATGGCCTCAAATCCCATTGTCGAATAGCTTGCAAAAATTGTTTGATGGAGTTCACCCCCATGCCCCTCCTAGACTCGGTAGAACACTCACCTCTAAGTTAAAAACTCTGGAAAAACTTTTTGGGGAACATACACACTTATCACCAAGATCACCAATTTTAGATCAAGAATTCCTTCTTGATCTAATCTCTATCCTAACGTATACCAGACAACTAAATAATAAGATTTCCTCTTTTATTTAGGAATTTCTGCTCCCAGAATAAATATACGGCTCGTTACTATAGTGGCAGCAGCATTTTATTCAGGCCTGTAATGGATGGTGAGGCCACAAAGTCCCT